TTGTGTATATATTTGAGCTCATTCATTTATAGTGTCAAAATATCATTATTAGAATATTAATGAAGCACATGTCTGTCTTAGCCTCATCAGGTCAGTCACTGGCTTATCAGCATTACATTATAGCGTAGCCGTACTTTCTTTTGCCGCGTATCTCAGCCTGAAACATTAAATAAGTATGACCTTTGCTTTTATTTTCCAACCCCCCAATACTTGAGTTTGCGATACCTTTTAAAACCCGCGCACGTGGTATATATATCTCAAATACTCTCCCGTCGTTCATATAAAAAAAAATTATCAGCGACAAACCGCCGGAGTCCCCTCTGATGAAGATGTTGTTAGCTGGAGCGACTTCCTTTGCTTTCGAACTATGTGGTGGGCATGCGATACAGTTTCTGAAGATCCAGAAACAAACGACCGGGTTACCGTACGCTACCATCACTCGTCAGGTGAGTTCTGGTGAGATAGTCTTCACTGTATGGCACGTTGCCTTTACTCGTATCTCCATGACGAAACTAGTGTAGTGGGCAGTCTAATGTTACTCTATTTATTAAGCCACCTATTTTCCTCGGAGGAAATCAGTGCACAGCCTAATATTACTATATTCGTTAGGTCGGTCATGGCGTGGCATTTGCTCTGGTTGCATCCAATATGGTTCTCAGCAATGCATTTGTTTCAAATATAATAATGTCTTCCCCCCCGATAATCCCTCTTATTGTTGGTGTCGGGTTTTATCTCACACGATATCTGCATCAAAGTCCTTTGGGTATTTATCGAGAGTACGTGTTATGAGACCTTTGGGTTTGTTGATTAGATATATTTTATTGACGTTGTGTGTGTGGTGGGGGGGGGTGGGGGGTCTTCCTGTCAGTATTGGTCTGACGAGGTCGTGGTTGCCACTGGTGTTCGTGCTGCTGGCGGGGTTAGATGGGTTTGATATTGGCACGAACACTAATTGACGTTTGTGAGGGGGTTCTTCGCCGCTATCGAAACTAGTGGCACCTCAATGTGGGTTATATACAGTCGATTTCGAGCTGAGAACAGAGGGCCGAACACTACCACTGCCCATACACGTGTGAGTTCAGACTTCTATATTGAGGTCCTGGCTGTGTATAGCACATATAGTTGCTCATGTCCATCCCATCCGGATATATGTTGTCCCGTACGCGTCATGTCTAAAATCCTCGTATGGTATGGCTCGATTTACTACCGTCCACTCGGCCGCGAACCAATCCAATGACACTCAACTCTTTGACCCGCCATCATGGCTGCTAATGCAGATCACACAAACGAAAGGGATGGTGGGTTTGCTGGACGGCTTCCTTCCCTGGGGAGCATTCATTGCTGTGGGTAGGTAGTGGCCTGTGTTTTCTTATGTCTTCGCGTAAGTTGATATGGAGACTCGGGGGTTTATACTGTTTTTTGTCGAGAATGATGCGCTTTGTCAGTGTGTGATTCGTGCGTGGGAATCGGTATGTAGTATCTACAGGCCGTGAGGTTACTTGACTGCAGACGATCACGTATGTGTGTTCTTCATCCGGAAAGAAATCTAGGAATGCATGTTATGCATGCGTCAGGCACTGACTAGTGAACTGTCCACAGAACTATTATATGCAGAGGTGCACATGTCACAAGGCTCGTATCCGTGTCTGTCACGGGAGTCTCCCGCATGGCTACGAATATTCAACATATCTACTTTTCCAGACTAGACCCCTCGCCATAGGCCGATGACCTGTACTTTGTATGGATAGTTCGCTTCAACCAATAATGAGTGGTATATACTATAAGCCATTTCAACCAGCAGTGCGTGGCTTATACTTCTCCACAACCTTGCTGTGGCCTTCGCACCTTCATAATTGAAGCCGCTTTACAAAGGAATGTTCTCGTTTCAATTCGTTTATTCCTTCAAATACCTATGTATAAATCGATACAACCCACAATAACGGCTAATCGCTACCGTCTCATATATCTCTTACTTCTCGGTCTAGGAAAGGGAGCTGTCTTCGGCTTAGGGCATGCGGGAAGTATGTACGCACTCCGAGGAACAATCCGGAATGACGCCAAACCCCTTTCTTTGAGTGAGCCGGCTGCACAGATCATCAGCGGGGGCGTGGGTGGCTTCTTTCAGGTATGAAGATAAATACAGATAT